TATATCTCTGTCTTCTATCATCTTTATACTCTTCTCTCTCTCTCGTCTATCTAATCTCTATATCTCATATCTTATATTATCATCCTCTATAGGATCTCTCTCTCTACATCTTCTGTATCGATCTTCTATCTCTCTACATATATCTTATCTATATATATCTTCTCTCTTCTCTCTTTCTATAATATATTATATATCTACTATATATATCTATCTCTATATCTATATTTCTATCGCTACTATCTTATTTCTCTATATCTCTTATCTATGCACTATCTATCTATTAAATATATCTATCGTATTTTATCTATCTCTCTAATATATTATATATATATACTATCTATATATATCTATATCTCTCTCTATATCTATTCACTATATTTTTTTTAATATATCTATATATATCTCTATATTCTCTCTATTCATATATCTATATATAATATCTATATTAAATCTTCTATATAGGTCTTTCGATATTATATATCTATATACTCTCTAACATAATCCTCTTCTATCTGTATGATATCTTCTCATCATCATCTCTCTCTCTCTATATATATATATTCTCTATACTATATCTCTAGCTCTGTCTATATAGCTCTATATACATATTATCTATATGTTTTATATATATATCTATCTATGATATCTCTACTTATATATATATATATTAATCTATATATAAAAATATTATCTCTATGTATTTATATTTATCTATCTATATATCTCTATATCTATTATATTATTATATATACTCTTATCTCTCGAATCTAAATATTAATATCTTGTATTTATCTCTCTATTATCTCTACATATTATATCTCTATACTCATATATCTATCATCTATCTATATCTATTCATATCTAAATATTATATAGTGTATTTATTTTATTAGGTATATCTACTTATAATACATATCTATATCTATTATATATATATATATATCTATAGTATTATATCCACACATATATATATATATATATATATATCCTATATCTATCTATATATTATATTATATGATATACATATATATATATATATATCTATACAGTTATATATATATACATGTAATATTAGATCTACAGATATAGATATCTCCATATTATATATATATATATATCTATAATATATATATATATATCTATATATATATATTATTAATAGATAATATATATATATATATAGATCTATTTAGATATCTAATATCTATATACTATATATATATAATAATTATGTATTATATATTATTATATATTATATATTATCTATATAATATATATATATTATTATATATAATATATATTCTTATATA